GTCCCGGGCGCGGCGGCTTGCAGCGGAGACCTGAGCGCCGCCAGGCGAGCTCCCCAATTTGTTGGCCCTGCCCCCTCCCCCTCGGCGGCGTGCGGGCGGGTCTCAAAGGGGAGGACTCTGCGGCTCGAGTAAGAAGAGGCGGAGGAAGCGCGCGGCCGGCCGATTGTGGCTGCCGCGCGCCGGGACGCCAAGTCTCCACGCTCTGCACCCACCCGCTGCCGCGGCGCGACCCTGTGTCCCCGCGCTCGCTGACTGCGCGGAGGACAGAGGGCAGTCGCACAGGCCGCGAGCCCGGCGCTCGGGAGCCGGAAAGGGCAGCCGCGCTGCTGGAGTGCCGCTGCCCCGCGCTTCAGAGGGACCGAAGCCTGGCCCGAGGTGAGAGCGATCTCTGGGACGCCGAGACCCAGGCACAGGGCACGAACTCGGGGCACCCTGTCCAAGCTCTTAGGAGTTGGGGGGTGGGGGATGGGGATCGAGCGGCCGCGGGTAAGCAACATCAACGAGGGCCTAGATGGGAAGCCTCCTCTTTCTTCTGTCTCTGTGTCGGCTCTCCGTCACTCCTGCAAGGAGGTGGGGCGCAACCCGCTCTCCCGCGTTCCACTGACGGACGCGGCGGCAGGGATGCTTCCCTCCCCAACCTCTAAGTCCGCTTTGTCTTTTGCCTTCCAGGCTGGGAGGAACAGACCTCTGAGCCCAAAGTGGCTGAATTAGAAGCATGGCCAGAGACCAGGGCGCGGCGTCCGGCCCTGCCCTGCGGCGGTAAGCGACTTTCTGCCTTGTCCTGTGGGTCCCGCAAGCGGGGCCCTTCAGTGTAACTTTCAGGAGTTGCCCAGCCGGACTGCTAGCTCATGGCGCTTTCCCTCTCTCTCATCCAGGTGGCTGCTGCTTGGGGCGGTAGCAGTGGGACTCCTGGCCCAGAGCGTCCTGGCGGTAAGTCCTGGCCCCGGTTCACGGGCTTTGATTCGCGCGCCTGAGAGTGGTTGGGACACCGAGTGGCCTTGACAGAAGGCAGCTCGTGCGTGCTCGCCTGAACATGTGTGTGTGCGCGCCTATGTGTCCTCCTGCAGCCTCTTACCCAGACCAGGTTCTGAGAAAGCGCGCTTTCCCCAAGGAACTTCTCCGGTTTGCCTTCCCGTAGGTTCCCCACCGTCAGCCCTGTGTATTACAGTCATAGGCCTTAACAGAGGAGCCAATAATTAAAAACATAGCCCGCGGCATCCTTTTCTAAGGCTTAGGCAAAAGCCCAACCTTAGCAACCAGGGAAGACTGTCAGTCACATGGCAGTGAGGCGCCAGGCTACAAGGAAGAAACATTTTTGTGCAACTCAAAAGCTGGTGTTTAGGTACTGTACTGTCCTTGGCAGAGAGTTTTCCTGTTCTTTTAAATGAGAGGCTTTGGGGGGGAATTGGCGGGGCGAGAAGGAGAACAAGACAACACTGTACTTTTTTAACCATTGTGAGGGAACAATGGCTGAAAACTCGCGTTTTCTCCCAACATTTGGTCTGCCCCTGGAAGACCCACGATAAGAGCTGCTAAGGCTCCCACCTATGACCTCGTTTACTGTGTGCTGATCCCACCCTATCCCCACCCCAGAGCTGCCATTTAAGGCAGCTTTCTCAGTACATCATTGCGCTGGTGATTGCACTATGGGATGCTATAAATTGTGTTTAATAGGAACCTCTTTTACTGAACTTTATGTAGCATGGCTAAACTGCCACAGGTCTGGTGGGTCTCTTCAGTTGAGGACACAAATGTTTAAACTGAGACTGAAAATCAAGGGGACTTACTAGATGTCCAGGACCCCACCCTCTCTGTACTCTGTCTGATAGAACAGGATTTCTGTAGCACCTAATTTCCCAGGTGACTCCTGCTAGGAATTCCCCCCACCTCTTGGAGGGTTCTCTGGGTACACACACAGGGTACATGCACAGGGACAATAGGAAGCTGTAGTCAAGGTTTGTTTTAAGGCGTTATTTCCACATTGTCATATCCTCATGTAAAACAAAGATTTTAAAGGCTGTGAGTGAGGAAGAAATACCCTAGCTTGGAAAAGAACCTTTAGCCTTGCTTTTCTGCTACCCTCTGCTCCTGTTCAGGGCCCAGACTGGAAAGTCAGAAGAGAGGTCAGAGACTTTGACTGGAGCATTCTAAGCCAAAGTTTTCTTAAAGCTCAGGTCCATCTCTTTTTTTCTTCATGATATAAGAAGATCAGAACCTAGATATTTGTCCCTTATGGGTCCTTATACACATGTGACATATAGGACTTGGCCCAGAGTTATGAGCCAGAGCAATACGCACACATTCAAAGAGGATGAGGTTTCTAAAGAGGAAAGCCCTGAATTCTGTTGAGCACGCATGCATTGGCTGGCCGTTCTGCCTCCTACGCCCCTTTGTCTCTTAGAACCACTTTTATAATATCAATGTTTTCCTTCCTGAGGATGGTGAGAGTCCCAGGAATCTAATCTGAGACTGATCTTAAAATTGGTGGAAAGGGCTTCATGCCAGAAGACTTGGGTCCTAAACGCAGCTCTACCCAGTCTCATAAATCTGGTGCCCCAGTTTCCACACTTTAAACAGGAAGAGACTATCCCCCAGCTTCTTACAGAGGCCAGTGCCCTGCCACACATAATACACTTCTCTGCCTTCCTCCAAAACCTCTTAGATGCTGCAAACTCAGCTGAATCTCTCTGTTCTCTGATTCTTGGATGAGACCAAGAGCATTTATTGCTTAGCAGTGCTTCTCAGAGTGTAGTCCTTGGACCTCTACACTAACCTGGAAAGGTTAAAAATTCAGACCACTGGTCTGCATCGCACACCTCTGATCACACTTTCTGGGGTGAAGTCTGGAAGTCTGCATTCTCACTTGATGCCAAAGTTTGGGAACCATTGAGCTATATAGTATTGTGTTGGGAGGCAATGGGAATCATTTGCCAATTTATTTTATGTCACTGGGCTTTAGATTCTAAAACTATAAATAGAAACAGATAAATACCTCTGAATTATTTTACTGGAGACATATCAATATGTATTATTCAATAGACATGGAATTTGTGTGGATCTTCTACTTATTAACGTCCTACTGACCACTGGCTTTAATAACCATTACTCATAAAATAATTCCTTGATCCTTAACTATATTCATTAAAACACCTTTCTTAATTGTGGCAAGCTCGGCTCCTCCCCCATTTGTGTGCCATGCTCAAGAATCCTGTCTCATTGTCTGTTTCTACCAAGGACTCCTCTCAAGGGTAGATCAATTCAGTTAGCAAGGGCTGCTCATTGTTGCTTGAAAAGCTTTGTAGCAGAAGCAGCTAGAAATGGCTAGTGAAGAGAATACATAATTATTTAATGAGTATTTCCTATATGCCAATTTATGTGTCTTAATCCATCTGAGCCTCATAGGAAAACACACCTATGAAGTAGGTAACTATTCCCACCCCCATTTTACAGATGAGAAAACAGAGAACTAAGACTTTATACAACTCGCCCAAGGGCTCTCTCTTTGTAAGTGCCAGGCGTGGGATTTGAACGTAGGCACTTGCTTACTGCAGTAAGCGTCCCCAAATCAGGCTATAAATAGGTAGTGAGGGTACTCCTGAGTTTCAGTAGTTGAATCTCCTGGTTATGCTTTCTCCTTGCTCTTAACTGTGACTGACAGAGTAAAGCCCACATCCTGGTTCCTAGGAAAGGGAACTCCTGTCTTCTTCCTGTGCCACTTTGCTCTGAAGAGCAGGGGCCCATAGCAAGGGAGAAGCTGTGTAATCAGGTGTCCAAAAGAAGAAAAGAAAGCAGGCATTCCAATGGGCAGCCTGGGCTCAGGACCCAACATAGACACATGTGCTCTCCGTGTGCAACCACGGGCAGCACTCACTTAGTGTTCAGGTTGCCCTGCCTTAAATGCAATGCCAGGGTGCCAAGCGCATATGCAGAGGACTCTTCCTAAAAGGTAGTGCAGCATGATGGTTACCACCCCATACTCTGAAGTCAGACTGCCTGGGGGCCATTCCCAACTCAGCAGCTGATGAGCTGCTGCTTACCCCTGACACTCACCAAATTTCCTCGTCCTGTTACTCACTACCCTGCAATGGGGATGTTACCAGTGGTATCCACCTCTAGCTGGGGTCAGGGCTGTCAGAATAGCGAATGTGCATGAAGTGTCCTGGAGTGCGTGGCACAGAGCAAGTGCTCAGGGTGTCTGTTGAGCCTGTGTCAGTGAAGGTTCCCACAGCAGCATGCTCCTCCTAGCCTTCAAGGAGACTTAAAAGTGCTCACTGTGGCCTGTGCTGAGCATTGTTACTTATCTCAAGGGATGAGACAGCAGCCTTGAAGATCTAAGAGACCAGTCCTATGCGGTTCTGGGAGTAAGAGGATTCCAGAGAACAAAGGCCTTCTTTCCCTGAGATTAAATGCGCCAGAGGTGGGGAATGGAGGGTGCTGACCTCATGACCTCAGCTGAGGAGACAGGCTACACACTTAGGTTCTCATAGGTATCAGGGTGCAACCCTATGCACCCCAGGAGATGCTGGCCTCCAGACTGCCTTCAGCACCAGCTTCAGTTTCCAGGGTGTCTTCAAGGGTTCCGTGACCTGGAAAATTTCCTCGCCGTTTCTCAGGTTGTCATTTCATCCCCTCCCTACTCCCCAAAAAAGAGAGAGAAGCAGCGGCAGCAGCAATATGTTCTATAGTTTTCCTCTTCTGCTTTCAATCAGCTTATTGATAAATTATGGAAAAAAAAAAATGTGTAGTGCTAAGATGCTCCCAGTGCTCTATTTAAGAATCACAGAGAACAGTGCTTTCCCAGAATTGCCAAGAGCTTTAGTCCTCTTGTTCGAATTCTGGACCCCTAAGAAGGGAAATATCACAAGGTTTCTCCTCTGTTAAGGGAAATACAAGTATATCTCCAGCTCTCTGGTGGTAGTTAAAGCAATCCTCTTGGTGGCTCGTATGAAATGGCCACAGTCAATAACACCACGGACTCGTCACAGCATCCCAGAACTAGACAAAGGTCCGAAATGGGAAGAGGGAGAACATGGCTGTTATACTACTAGTGGGTATATTTAGAATGAGAGACAGAGAGGAAAAAAGTGAAATTCAAGTAAAAAGTTCTAGGACAGAAAACAAAGAGTTTGCTAAAATAATAAAAAAATCAAAGGAGACTCTGTCTTTCCGGAGAGAGGATTTTAAAAAATAGGCGACTAGCTTCAATTAAATATAGAGAAAATTCGAGGGAAAAACGAAAGGGCAATGACTTTTCAACATTATATTAATGATAATGAAGATATCACTATGGAGAAGGTGGTTTTGAAATGTCTTGTTCTTTTAATCTAAAAAAGAATACTTATCTTTGATTAAAGGACTTCAGAGAGAGCTCTGAAATTGACCTCTTACTGTATCCGCTTGTATCACCACCACTAAAGGTGGTAAAGTTTGGAACCTTGACCTTGGCTGATTCAGCTTATACACCAGGCAGTCTGTGCAGTAACTGGCGGCCTCCTGGGGTACACAGTAGTCTTAAGAAACAACAAAGCCTCACCCCTACAAGGTTACTAATTGGCTGTTTGACCCCAGGGCAAGTCACTTAATGCTTTGGTTCTGGGGTACGAGGGAAAGTTGAAGAAGAGCTGTAGTGTGGTATCGTTACTGGATGCTCCAAGCAGTCAGGCACCCCAGGTGAGCTGGAGGGTCAGAACTGGGGACACAACACCCACAGCTGCCACAGGCCCTTCCCTGAGCGGAGAAGGCAGAGATGAGCTGGTTCTCGCTTTTCTTAGCTGTCACATTGGGAATAGGAATGCTTTTCCAGGAAAGCATGTGGGCTGCTCCAGGATATGACTTAAAAATAAATATGCTGCATCAGGCTTTTTATCTTCAGGATGTGAAAAGCTTCTGGAATTCAGTGAATGGTAGTTAATCAGCTGAGATGAGCGAAT